CACAACTAAGTTTCTCTTAAGGCTCCTACACACTCGGGTGTACTGTGTGTACTCCGTGAGCCACGCAGACACTGTGAGCACTCTACGCAGACAGTTGAGACTTCATACTCAAGCATACATCCTGATGAGCTGCAGCCCAGCTCCGCAGGCAAGGGGTGTTTACCTTCGGGATAAACTGAGGTCACCGACTGGCCATTTTCTGACTTGCCTAAAGCCCAACCATCAGACTGGCCCACCGGGAAATCAGACCCTCCCACAGCCACGCTGGGCCTGATTTTATTCTCTCGTGACAAATTCCTTCATTTCTCACAATTTCAGTCATGGCGTCAATGGACGAGGAGGAAGAGATCGCTTGCCTCTTGGAAAAAAAAAAGGCCATTAAACCAGATCAGGGATGAAGAAGGGGAATTTAATACATTGGTGTCGCATACAAAACAGTCCATCGCATGGCAGTTTATGTCTGTGCAAAGATCCATTTTTACAACCGTGTACGTGTACTCAATGTCGCACAAGAAAATGCCGTGCGACGGACTGTTTTGTATGCGAAATCAATGTATTAAATTCCCCTTCTTCTTCCATGATCTGGTATATGGTGTTTTCTTTTGTTTTTTTTTTGCAAAAAGACAAGCGATCTCTTCCTCCTCGTCCATTGATGCCATGACTGAAATTGTGAGAAATGAAGGAATTTGTCACGAGAAAATTAAAATCAGGTCCAGCGTGGCTGCGGGAGGGTCTGTCTATCACCATGATAGACAGCATCCAACATCTGCAGGGTTCTTATAGGAGCGTTCATGTAAATAATGTCACCGTAATCAATGGAGGAAAGGAAGGTCACAGATACAAGGCGTTTCCTAGCATTCAGAGTTAGACAGGATCTGTTTCTGAAAAAGAAACCCAGTTTAACTTTCAGTTTCTTTACTAGGTTTTCCACAGGGATCTTAAAAGAGATGCGAGTCGACCAAGATACCCAAATATTTATAGGAATCAACAAACTCAATCGGGACATCATTTGATGATAAAATCTGAGAAGAACTGCTAGGACTAACTTCCTATTTGAAAAAAGCATCCCTTTGGTGTTGTCGGCATTTAGAACAAGTTTGAGGTGGAACAAATCTGTCTGGATGATGTTAAATGCAGATTTCAAAAGCTGGAAAGCTTTATCAACTGTTTTAGCTCGACAATAAACAACTGTGTCATCAGCATTAAAATGCATTGATGCATCAGGGATGTTTTTATCTACATTATGTATGTAGATTTTAAAGAGGGTGGGTCCTAAGACTGAGCCTTGTGGTACACCATTGTTGACTGTTAAATAACTGGAGGAAGTATCATTTTGTTGAACACATTGCCTCCGGTCTGAGAGATAGTTAGAGAACCAACCAATGGTGTGATCTGAGAAACCGATTTCTGAGAGCTTATGACACAAGATGTTATGATCCACAGTGTCAAAAGCTTTAGACAGGTCTAAGAAAAGTGCAGCACAATAATCCTTAGCATCCAATGCTTCAACAACGTCATTAAGAACCTTCAGTGAAGCAGTCGTTGTGCTGTGTTGTTTCCTGAAACCAGATTGATGGGGAGGTAAGATGTTAAATGAGTCCAGGTAATTTTTGATTTGAGAGTTTATCAGTTTTTCTCGAACCTTGGCTAAAATGCAGAGTTTAGAAATTGGCCGATAGTTGTTCAGTGAGGTGGGGTCACCTCCCTTCAGTAAAGGAAGAACAAAGGTTGTTTTCCAAGCATCTGGAATGGAGTTTTGTCTTATGGAGAGATTGAAGATGTGGGTCACAGGGACTGTGATGATATGAGTGGCCAGACTTAAGAAATAAGGTGGAAGTTCATCTGGACCTGCAGATTTTTTAGGATCAAGATCTTTTAACAGTTTATTAACCTCACTGACTGAGAATGGAGAAAAAGAGAACGTGTGATTTACTGAGGGTTGACTTGTAGGAAGGATTTGATTTGTAGGAGTTTGATTATTAAGTGAAGTGGCTGATTTTCCATTAGTAACTTTATCAAATAAAGAACTAGAAGCAACAAAATGTTTGTTGAAACAGTTCAGGATCTCGTGCTTATTTGACACAGGAACAAAGTTAACGAAAAGTTGTGATGGGAGGTCAGATGATTGGGGGGTGCCTGAGAGAGATTTGATGGTTTTCCAGAATCTGTTAGAGTCATTTAGATATTTGGAGGTCTGAGATAAAAAATAGTTACATTTTGCAGCTTTGACAGCACTTGTGCATTTATTCTTCATCTGCCAAAAACTCAACCAATCAGTGTCTGAGTCAGATTTTCTCGCTGCAGCCCAAAGATGATCTCTCCTGTACAGGAGGTCAGCTAGCTCTGGAGTAAACCAGCGGCTGTCTCGTCCCTTTATTCTGAACTGACAAAAAGGAGCATGTTTGTTCACAAAATAAATTAAACTATTATGAAAATAGTTCCAAGCAGAGTTCACATCATCAATTAATAGAATATGATGCCAGTCAAAGTGCGACAGATCCCAGAGGAATGATTGTTCACAAAAACGTTTCAGATCCATTGTTTGAATTAATCTGGGCTTAGAAGGTGGAAGTTTAATGTCTCTCAGAGTCACTGTCACACAGTGATCACTCAAAATGTCAGCGAATACACCTGTACCAGGGAATTTGTGTGGCATATTAGTTAGAAACAGGTCTAAGATGGAGGACTTTTCAAGATGTTTTTGTTTGGTCTAGTGGGAGAGCCAATTAGTTGGGTTAGATTGAGAGACAGGCAACATTCCTTGAATTTATCACAGAGGGGGGTCAACTTATCCCAGTCAATGTTGAAATCTCCTGCCAAAAAAAAACCTCTTTGAATTTTAAATTACCAAGGAAGTCCATCAGGGAGGACAGAGCCTCAGGTGTTGCTGAGGGAGGATGATAACAACCCACTACAGATAAAATCTGGCCTCCATTCAAAGTGATGTTTACAGCTAAGGCATCAAACTGGTTTGGAATTGTTTTAGAAGACACAAGACTAGAAACCAGAGAATCTCTAATGTAAATAATGACTCCAACCCCCCTTTTTTGACGATCACAGCGGTAGATGTTTAATCCATTACCAGGTCATTATTCAGTACAGATTTGTTGAGCCAGGTTTCAGAGATGAAGATTACATCTGCCTCAGAAGAACTGATCAGAATTTTCAAGGCATCAAGTTTTCTCAGAAGGCTATGTGCATTTACATGCAGAAAATGAAGTCCTGACATGTTTTTAAAGTCATTTGGTGTGCTGTAATTAGTGGGGGGTCCAGGGTTGGGCTGAATCCCTGACAGCAGTAACAACATTATTATCAGACATTTTCTTGAGTTCTTCGTGACTGATGTGTAATTACAGGAGTTAACAGTGTGACAATTAGCCCCCATAATCGAACCATGAGAAACATTAATGAAGATGCAATCATTCAGAACACAGAAACAGTGAAAGTTGCAATGATGGGCAGATCCAGGTGTATTAACAAGATTCAGTGACTCCAGATAGTCTGAGATCTGAAAATAATGACAATAATATGAATGGTACAGAAAAGTCTCAGACCATAAAGTGTTACAAATCAAATGCTCTGGCCCCCCTGCGAATACGGATGGATGCTCCCATGGGAAACAGAAGCTGGGCCCAGAACCAACAGGCAGAAACAGATAATTTGTAGCAAATAGCAGAGCAAGCTGCCAGAAAATCCTCCTGAAATGAAAGGCATGGTCCTAGCTCATTTCAGGTCAACAGGGGCCAACAACGTGATCCGGAATAAAAATAATTATTATTATCCAGGTGAGTTTGGATGGAGGCCTGCAGCAACTCCGATGCAAACTTCGAACTTCTCTCAAGCACCACGCAGCACTGCTCCTCTGCTTCTCTGCACGTCACCTCCATACCCGACAGCACGAGAGGCACCCCCGGTGAAAACTACGAGACTGACCATAGAGGCTGAGGCTGAAGTCATCACTGGTCCGATCCGGTTCTGCTCCATTCCGGCTCTCCACAGCACGAGAGGCAAAGAGGCTGAAGTTTTCCCTGGCCCGGTTCTGCTCTGGCCCGGTTCCGGCGGTGCTTCAAAGCATCAGAGCGTCTCCTCCAGGCAAACACAGCGATTCCACGAAGGTGGACAGTCCTTCGTTAAATGTAATGGGCTGCTCACTGAAGCTGAGACCGGCTCTGTTTGAAGACGAAGTCCCCCAGAGCCAACTCGGTTCGGTTCTGGTCCACTTCAGGGGACACAGGTACACTTCCCCCACACCAATGAAGACACCACAAGGGCCAGTCCAGTAGAAAACCAGCAAAATACCACCCGGCAATTCTTGTCATAACCAGGTAGAACCACAAAGGTCCAGAGGAGAAGTTTGTTGGGGCCCAGAGAGAGAGAAAAAACACCGGACCTTCGTGCGACGACTCCCCAGCTCGAGGGGTCACCTGGCCTGCAGGGTGCGCTCAGAGTGACCGGTGGGGTGGGATCGGTCGGTCCTAGACTAAAATATATTATTGGATGGTCCTCTCCGGCTCTCTGAGTCACTGAACACCGAATGCAGTTGGAAGGGGGACCAACTTTAGTCCGGTTCATGAAACGGGTCAGTTTGATGATAAAAGACTACAGAGAAGCCGGAGGGAGCTGCCATCTATCAGCTTGCCGGAAGTACCCGAGTATGAAGTCTCAACTGTCTGTGCAGTGTCCTCATGGCTCACGGAGTACACACAGAATGCCCAAATATGTGTGAGCCTTAATCCGGTACACGTGGACCTCTGCAGAGTGAAGTATGTCCGAGTATGTGGGAGCCTTTACAGTTTAAAAAGCTTGAAATTCCACACTCTGTAGCCTCCCAGATGGGAAGTCAAACCTCTTTAACTACATAATAGAAGTCCAGTTGTTTTATTTTTATAAACAACACAATACTGTTATTGTTTATATCTTTAATCACTTCGTAAACATAAATATTCATAAATGTTTTCTTGTGGATGTAACCTGTGTGTTTGTGTGTTTTAATGCGTCAGTGGAACTGTGTTGCTGCGAGGAATCTTCAAAGTGGGAAAAAAGAGTCATGATGTCCTGCTCACTCAAACCAAACTGACCTGGATCCCCATCATCCCAGAGACCCCTACAGGTCAGTTCTGTGAGGAGGGGCTGCTATGGCATTCAGTAATCATGACGGAGGAGGTCTAACGTTTGATAACTGACATTTCTGACACACACTGTATATTCATATCCCTCTGTGTACACTATGAATAATATAACAATATGAATATAACAATATATAACAATAATAATAATAATAATATAACAATAATATAACGATATGAATTCCTTTTAAAATCAAAGTTTAGGCTACAAAACAGGAATTGAAAAGAAAACACATCTCATATTTGTGTGCATGTCTATGTTGGAGTGTGGTGTCATTGGGATATTGCTACTATATCTGCAGTAGTAGGCCTCCAGTATCAGAAGACATTACCAATATTTACTTTCTATGCATTGGCGTCAGAAGCATTTGTAATGTGGGGGCACACATTGGTGTGTGTGTGTGTGTGTGTGTGTGTGTGTGGGGGGGGGGGGGGGTGTTCTGGGGGTCATCCCCCATAAAATTTGGAATAGATGCAATTTCCTGCATTCTGGTGTATTTTAACAGGTTGTTAAACATCTATGTTTACCTGCATAGTAAACACTTGATTCATTAATTATTTTAGAGTGCATGGCACAATAAGAAGTAGTCTGACCAACAGTTCTCCTTGTGTGAATAGAGCACGCTCTGCTTCTCTCAAGCATCCTACCCCCACCCCACCTGCATGTTGAATACTGCCAGAACCATTGTAACACTAAGCTAGCAGCGCGCTATACAGACGTGTTAGCTAAGATGCTACAGATGTAGCGCTCCACTTCTCTCACACATCCTAATCCTCCACCCTCATCAACAACTGCCAGCAATAATGTGGTGCTAAGCTAGCATGCAAAACTGAAGTGTCTCCCCCTCCTCCCCCTGTAAGCGCCCTGCCAAGGCAGATGACCAAGGAGACACACTGCATGCGTTGTGAAGTTGTTGTTGTAGGTAACTAGGAAAACCTAGAGTGGATTTTAGTGGTTTGAGTATTGTCTTATTAATCAAGTGGAATGGATTTATTCATGAAGAAATATATAAAGCGCTGGGTGAACTAATATTTTATGGTGAAATGTGTGTGGTGGGGGGGTCAGGATTAATATCATTTCGGATCAGTTGAGACCTGGGTTAATGACGACCACCACCGGTGCTGTTGACAAGGGTACTGGTGTAAAATTGTGCTACTGTTAGTCAAAGACCACGAGGAGGGAAATGTGTCAGGAGACAGAGGGAGAAGAGGAATGTCAAGAATGTAGGACTGAGGGTTGCAACTCTAAATGTGGGGACAATGACAGGCAAAGGTAGAGAGCTGGCTGACATGATGCAGAGAAGGAAGGTAGATAATTTATGTGTCCAAGAAACCAAGTGAAAGGGCAACAAGACTTGCAGCATTGGAGCAGGGTTTAAACTGTTTTACCATGGTATAGATAGAAAGATGAATGGAGTAGGGGTGGACCTGAAGGAGGAGTTGACAAAGAATGTAGTAGAGGTGAAAAGAGTGTCAGATAGAGTGAGGTGCCTGGAGATAGAAGTAGAAGGTCTGATGCTAAACATTGTCAGTGGTTATGCTCCACAAGTTGAATATGATGTGGAGGAGAAAGATACATTTTTGAAAGATCTGGATGAAGTGATAGAGAGTATTTCCAGGGAGGAGAGAGTGGTGATCGGAGCAGACCTGAATGGACATGTTGGTGAAGGAAACAAAGGGTATGAGGAAGTGATGGGTAGGTTTGGTGTCAAGGAAAGAAACCAGGAAGGACAGATGGTGATGGATTTTGCCAAGAGAATGGAAATGGTTGTAGTCAACACATATTTCCAAAAGAGGGAGGAACATAGAGTGACCTATAAAAGTGGAGGAAGGAGTACGCAGGTAGACTACATTCTGTGTAGAAGAGGAAACCTGAGGGAGATTGGGGATTGTAAGGTTGTAACAAGGGAGAGCGTGACCAAATAGCATTGGATGATTGTGCTTAGAATGACTGTTGTTGTGAAGAAGAGAAAAAGAGTAAAATCAGAGAAGAAGACCAAATGTTGGAAGCTGAAGAAGGAAGAATGTTGTGAGAAATTCAGAGAGGAGCTGTTAAAGGCTCTGGGTGGTAAGAAAGAGCTTCCAGATGACTGGACTACTACAGTAACACTGAGGGTGAAGTCCGGAAAGCTCTGAAAAGAATGAAGAAAGGGGAGGTAGTAGGACCTGATGAGGTTTGGAAATGTCTTGGAGAGATGGCAATGAGGTTTTTGACTCAAATATTCAATGGCATATTTGAGGGTGAGAAAATGCCTGAGAAATGGAGAAGTGCGCTGGTGCCCATTTTTTAGAACAAATGTGATGTACGGAGTTGTAGCAGCTACAGGGAAATTAAGTTGATGACACACACAATGAAGATCTGGGAAACAGTTGTGGAAGCTAGACTTAGACGAGAGGTGACAATTTGTGAGCAGCAGTATGGTTTCATGCCAAGAAAGGGCACCGCAGATGCCATCTTTACTTTGAAGATGCTGATGGAGAAGTACAGAGAGGGTCAGAAAGAACTCCATTGTGTCTTTAGGAAAAGCATATGACAGAGTGCTGAGGGAGGAGGTGTGGTATTGCATGAGGAAATCTGGAGTGGCAGCGAAGTATGTTAGACTAGTACAAGACATGTATGAGGACAGCAGGACAGTAGTGAGATGTGCTGTAGGAGTGACAGATAGCTTCAAGGTGGAGTTGGAATACCATAACAGATTGGCTCTGAGCCCCTTCTTGTTTGATCTAGTGATGGACCAACTAACAGATGAGGTTAGGCAGGAATCCCCATGGACTATGATGTTTGCAGATGATATTGTGATCTGTGGTGAGAACAGGGAACAGGTGGAAGAGAACTTGGAGAGGTGGAGGTATGCACTTGAAAGAAGAGGAATGAAAATCAGCTGTAGTAATTCAGAGTACATGTGTGTGAATGAGAGGGAGCCCAGTGGAACAGTGAGGCTACAAGGAGCAGAGGTCACAAAGGTGTAGAACGTCAATTAATTGGGGTCCACTGTCCAGGAAAATGGGGAGTGTAGTAAAGAGGTGAAAAAAGAGAGTTCAGGCAGGATGGAGTGGATGGAGAAAAATTTCAGGAGTGATTTGCGACAAAAGGGTGTCAGCAAACATCAAAGGAAAAGTTTACAAGACAGTGGTGAGACCAGCTATGTTGTATGGTCTGGAGACAGTGACATTGACAAAAAGACAGGAGAAAGAACTGGGAGTGGCAGAAATGAAGATGTTGAGGTTCTCCTTAGGAGTGACAAGGATGGATAAGATTAGGAATGAGATCATCAGAGGTACAGCACAGGTTGAACAACTGGGAGATAAAATTAGAGGGGCCAGACTGAGATGGTTTGAACATGTGGAGGGACAGTGGGTATATTGGTAGAAGGATGTTAGAAATGCAGCTGCCAGAAAAAGACAAAGAGGAGCTTTATGGATGCAGTTAGAGAGGACATGGAGGTAGTTGGAGTGAGGACAGAGGATGCAGAGGACAGAGTGAGATGGAGGAGAATGACTCGCTGTGGCGACCCAGAAGAGGGAAAAGACAAAAGAAGAAGTAGGTTATACATAATTTTGATGAAAATAAAAGCTAGGTTAAATATTAAAGACTTAGATGAATATTCAATTCAATTCAAAAATACTTTATTAATCCCAGAGGATCCAAAAATACTACTATATACTATAACAATACTTAATCTCAGAGATTATACTGCTAAATCAGTCTCGTTTTTCACCGGGGGTGCCCCGTGCTGTCGGGTGCTGAGAAGCGGAGGAGCAGCGTGGAGGAGCAGGGCTGCGTGGTGCTCGAGTGAAGTTCGGAGTTTGTATCGGAGCTGCTGCAGGCCTCCATCCAAACTCACCTGGATAATAATTAATTTTATTCCGGATCACGCTGTTGGCCCCTGTTGACCTGAAACGAGCTAGGATCATGCCTTTCATTTCAGGAGGATTTTCTGGCAGCTCGCTCTGCTATTTGCTGCAAATTTTCTGTTTCTGTTTCGGCCTGTTGATTCTGGACCCAGCTTCTGTTTCTCATGGGAGCATCCATCCATCCATCCATCCTTCTTCACAGGGGGGCCGGAGCCCCCCTCAGCCCAACTCAAACTGCAGTTGGGCCAACTCGTCGGGTTTGTTTGCCCATTTGAACTGTGACATTTTATGGTCTGAAACTTTTTTGCATCATTCATATTACTGTCACTATTTTCAGTTCTCAGATTATCTGGAGTCACTGAATCTTGTTAATACACCTGAATCTGTCCATCACTGCAACTTTCACTGTTTTTGGGTTCTGAATGATCACGTCTTCATTAATGTTTCTCATGGTTCAATTATGGGGGATAATTGCCACACTGTTAACTCCTGTAATTACACATCAGTCACAAAAAACTCAAGAAAATGTCTGATAATAATGTTGTTATTGCTCTCAGGGATTCAGCCCAACCCTGGACCCCCGACTAATTACAGCACACCAAATGACTTTAAAAATGCCTCTGGGCTTCATTTTCTGCATGTAAATGCTCGTAGCCTTCTGAAAAAACTTGATGCTATGAAAATCCTGGTCAGTTCTTCTGGGGTTGATGTTATCTTTATTTCTGAATCCTGGCTCAACAAATCTGTAATGAATAATGACGTGGCAATCAATGGATTTAACATCTACCGCTGTGATCGTCAAAAAAGGGGGGGTGGAGTCATTATTTACATTAGAGACACTCTGGTTTCAAGTCTCGTGTCTTCCAAAACAATTCCAAATCAGTTTGAAGCCTTATCTGTAAACATCACCTTGAATGGAGGCCAGGTTTTAACTGTAGTCTGCTGCTATCGTCCACCATCCGCTTCTCCTGAGGCATTAAATGCCATTAAGGAATTCCTTGGTAATTTAAAATTCAAAGAGGTCTTTTTAGCTGGAGATCTTAACATTGATTGGTGTAAGTCGACCCCCCTCTGTGACAAATTCAAGGAATGTTGCTTGTCTTTTAATTTAACCCAACTGATCGACTCC